GCAAGCTAACTTTTTTAAATTTTTAATTTGAAGAATCCATTTAATATATACAAGTTTTAAACCAATTTAACTTTTTTTTTTTACATTTAGTGGTTTTCTTTGACCATTCAAATTTTAAGTAGTATGTTAAGCTGATATAGCCTAATGCAAACAAGGTTTAACACAATAGCCTTGTCAGCAAAATAAAAATTGACATGGTCAAGTGTAAAAAAGGCTACCTCATCTTGTTTTACAAAACATTTCATTTTCTGTAATAATTCAAACAAGTGAAAAAAATATTGAAAGTGTGGGAATGGGTGCACCAAAAAGTAAGGAAACAAGGTAGGAATGGGCATGGTGTAATAAACTTCCTCTGTACAACCTCACAAGGGGGGTGTTCAATATTCAGACCATGCCTACTTCATTTATTCTTTTTATCCTGTATACAATAAGCCAGGTGGACTAAACTTATCAAACTTAGTTATGCTTATCATACAATGACTAGAGGCAAATTATTGGTGGCAATACATGTACTGTAAAGTTTGTTTATACAACACCAGAAGAATTAGATATTAATGTGGACTCATAACTTGTATGTTTTTCTTTGGTTACAACTTGTCCCTCCTTTTGCAATTGTATGTGTAGGCAACAGGATTTTGTATATTAATTATAGAGGTGGATTAAAATACAAAGATAAAAAAATCCTAAGAGGTTTCTGTGTATTGACATCGTGGATTTGTTACTGCCTGTGCAAAAGTATAAGAATGATAGACACACTTTTATATGTATCTATAAGTTCTATAATAATATGAAGACAGAAAAACGCAATAGGTATGGACCAGATGTTAGTCACCTTCTTGTGAAGTTTTTTAGAGGAACGTTTATTACACCATGTCCATTTCTACCCTGTTTCCTCACTTTTTGTTGTGTCCATTCCTACACTTTAAATTTTCTAAAAAATATTTTTCCACTTGATCATGCAATGTTTTCAGACAAGGTGACATGATCTTATGCATCATTCATTCATTTGTGTTGATATCCTGTATGTATATCATCAGTGTGGGTGTGCACCATAATATTATGGTATGTGCAAATAATGGTGTATGTGTGTGGTGTACATTCTCTTCACGTATGGTGCATGTACACATTGTGTGCTGTACATGTGATAGCACATGCTCTGTAGTGTGCAGTGTCATTTGGGTGATGTAGTGTGAGTTGTGGTTGTGTGCATATACTAAGTGTTGGTAAATTAGTTAATTAATATAAGTAACTACTTTATCTAGTTCAGGCAATAACTAGAATTTCATGTAATGGTAATGCAGGTTGACATTTATGAAATAATCAGGTAATATTCATGTAAAGTATGCCACCAGGTAAACTGAGTATGAATAAAGTTTCAACTTATTTTCAGTTGAATGGGAGGCTTGTTTGACGGAAAGAGTAGCACAGACAGAATTGCAGTCTTGCACAAAAAGTGGTAGAAATCCAGATGAAATGGATGTAATGGAAGTCCAATGAAAACAAAATTTAGTGGTCACCTGAAGCTCAACAAATTAATTGATATATCAAATAGTTCACCTGTTGTGTATGATTGCCCATCCACAAAAGCTGACTGATTCAGCCTCTCAGTCAGAATTCACCTTATAAATTCTTGTAACATGTTTAACATGAACAGTTCTTCATGACAAAAACTGGAAACAACACTCTCTAACTAAGGTTTATATGCAGCGAAAACTGGTTGTGGCAGTTTGAACTAGATGTAAACTTTCACGCTACATATTAAATGCTTCATGAATGCAAACTTTATTTAATTTACAATACATATTGTAAATTCCTTGCAAAAGAGCATAGCTTGTGTACTAGCCTAGACAGTGAAGCTTTTCTCCAGGCTCACCCCATGTTAGCATATCCCGTACTACTCGCAGTTTCCGGATCTAATCACACAGTGCTGTGGATCCAGAAGACCAAACCCCCTTAACTGATTTATCTGACCGGTATATGGAGTGAGCAAGCAGATGTGTGTACTTTAAAATGGCGACCCTGATGTACGTCAAATAGCTTATCTTATTGATGTTTAGTGTAGAAAATCCCTAGCACATGGTCCCTGTGCATGAATAAGCATGGCAAATCTGTTTGTTAGACAGTCAGTGATATTGAGGAATTTGTGGTTTTGTGAATTCTTTGTATCTGCTTTGCTGACTTTCTCGAGAGGTTCTATGACTTGCGGTTTTGTATGTGGTTTATATATCACCTAAGAGTGTCTCTCAAATACTTTTGAAGATTTATTACTTAATTGTTAAAATTGTATACGAGTATATAGTTTTTATTGCGTGTATTGTGTATTCACCCCATTCCTACTATAAGTACCACCATACTTTTTGTGAAGTATAAAATGATAAAGCAAGCTTTTTGTAAACATTAAAATATAATGAGGACAGTAATTATAGCAAAACTTGTTCACAAACACCTTTTTTATCTAGCAACACATGATCAAGCTTTGCTTCTCTCATGTTGATCTGATCTGTATGCAGAGCTCAACTAACTGGAAGTATCTTATTGAGTTTCACAGTTCACAAAAAAGAAAATGAGCTTTCAGGACATGTTTATAGTAGAAGCCTATTACTTCTCAAAGCTGAAATATTGGCACTTACATCACACTATGATGACCAAGGTTGAGAAATGGCGATTGGCTAAAAATGAATAACATTATGTTTATATGCAAATTACTAGGACAAATTAGCACTATTTTGATCAGAACTTCTGACCTACTTTCTAGGGGGCTATGAGTGCCATATTATGCTAAGAAATATTTCTGTAAGTTCACAACTACTAATGTCTTCATTGGAAGTATGCTAAAATCAACCAAAACTGATTTTTTTTTTAATGTATAAATTTAAATAATAAAACTTTTTGTGTTGAATAAATTTCAAGTGAAATATTTTGTTTTTAGTGGAAAACTACTGTAAGTTTATTTATTGTAATTTTTTTAAAATTCATGTTCAAATTTAGTCCTCAATGCAGATTTCACCCATCTTGGCATGAAAGAATTAACCAGATTAGAATTTTCCTATTATGGGAGTAAGATTAATTGTACTTTTACTTCTACAGAATCTCTTGATCACTCTTTTTAATAGTAGATGTAACATCTATTCAGTCCTCTACTGTGTATTGACCTACCAAAAATGAGAGGAAGAGACTCGCATATCTTTGATTTCCTTAAAACCCTGCGGAAAACCTTATCTTGCCTTCATGCTTTATTTTTAGTCTTTCAGTCATTCTACTTAACGCAATATCTACATGATTCAAGTCAATTCCAGTATTTGCCATAGAATGCTAAGAGTTTGAAGTATTTTTAATTCCTTGTAAAAAACAGGAGAGAAGAAAACGTTTAAAAGCTCATCAATCTCTTAGTCTTCAACAAAAGCTTTGCGATCACCATCTGTAAGGGCCCCATCCCCATTTTAACATTTTTTTTACCTTTAACATACTTAGAATAATCTTTGTTGTTAATTTTATTAGCTTAGCTATTTCTCATGAGCCCTTTTTAATTTATTTCTTTTAACTAAAATCCCTAGCTCCAGGATTAAGAACACTAGCTCTGTTTGAATAATGTGTAGATTAATTCAAGAAATTAACAATAACATGTATTGTTAATATAAATAGATGATATAGTGTTAAAAAAAATCCTTACCCTAAATTTGCTACATTGAGACATAAATATGATTCATAAAAAAATTACGTCACAAACCTAATCCACTTTGCACCATAAGAATTATTGTCAAGTGGTTGCTACTATAAATAGCTTCTCAGCCATTACTGTGCTTATCAAACAGCCTGATGAGTTGTGGCATTGGGTGAAAGGCCCTATGGGCTTTGGATAGATCATGTATATTGGGGTTGTCATGTTATTATATACACTTTACTTTCACATAGAATACTGATTATGAAGATATAGTAGGAAACTTTTCTAGGTTATGAAAGTATAGGAAAGAGATGAGTTATTTTATTTGTAAGAAATGAGCATTTTTAAAACATGATATAAAGTTTGTTCAAAATGCACTGTGTGTTTGGGTTAAGCCTAAGATGCATTTTCAACTCCTTTCCTGCTTATATAGGGAATCAATATAGTTCTCCATATTAAGTCTTCTTTTTTGGAAGCTATCAATTTTTTCTGTTGTTGTGCTCTACTGTAAGTACATGAATGTTTTTACCTACGGTAAAGTATTGTTTATTGATAAAATGTAGGGATCTTGGGATCAAATTACTGGCATCTTATATGGTCTTTAAATAATGACCTTCTTAATTTTTCATTAAACCTTATCTATTGTAGTGTTTATAATTAATTTTCAACTGTTTGAATTTATTTTTGTACTTTTTATTTATTTTAAGAATACAAAGATTGTTTTCTCACTGAGTGTGTTCAAAATTCTACCAAAACAGATGTTGTTTTTAGCCTTTTTCTAGTACTGAAGCAAATAAGGATAGAAATTCAAAAATTAGTTCAAAATATTCTGAGTCATATTAGTTAAGTAATGACTTTTGTTTTTCAGGTAACAATGGCTCTTCTTCCCTGCAGTAGGTGTTTTGTCAGAAAATTAAGTATAAGATGTCAGTTTTTCAGAAACACTGGTTCTATGTGTTTACCCACACCAGGATATGCACATTTAACGTTTCAGTTATGTAAGCATGAAAAGAAACAAATCACAAAGCCCAAAGCTTTACAATATAATCATTTGAATAATCACCTTTATAGAAACTACAACTGTAAAATAATAGATTTAAATTTATGTAATATTCAGTTAGATTCCAATTCTAAAATGAAACATGTACCCAGAGTAAATAATTTAGAATGTTTCCATACAAACATAATTTGTGCTACCATGGTTCCAAAAGAACTAAGTTTGAGTCATGCAAAAGTAAAGTCATACCTGGAGTCTATAGTAAATGAATATCATGTGCTAGAAGAGAAAACTAGAAGTTCAGTCATCCCACAAGAAATGCAGAAGCATTTGTTGATGTTACACCCCCTAGTTACTCTTATTGAAGAAGCAACTGAAAAACGAGAGGATCTGGAAGAACTGGAACAGTTTTTAAAAGGTAACTTAAAGTAAATTTTATAAATGTTCCTGATTAAAGTGTAGCGAATTACAGGCCATTTCTTTCTTTGGTGTTGCTTTCATTTTGATATATGTTCTAAATAGCTGAAGCTGGAAAACTGATTTCTACAAATCTGAAATTAAATCATAAGGCATTATTATTATTTAACTTATTTTCATTGAATCTCTTAAAAATTTATAAATGGCTCACCCAATTTGAGAAATAAAATATGATAACTTATTGCTGGAGGAGTAAATGTATCATAGATTCAGAAGAACTGTTTGATGGAATTCTTTTTCTTCTAGGTATCAAAAAGTATGTTTTACAGAATTATTTCAAAGTATATTGGTTCATTAGTTGATTAATTTTGGGTAGAATATTTTTGCAGGCTTAGATCCAAATAAAGATGTTGATCTGATAGCCGTAGCTAAAGAAGACATTGGCATTCTGAAATCTAAACTAGAAGATTTGGAAGAAGCAGTAAGTACATAAATACACTTTAATATCTGAATAGTTTAAGAATCACATAAATAGAAATGTATAAACTCTGAAATTAAAGTAATAAAACTCATATTTTAGAACTGTCACTGGTTTATAAATGAAAAAAGTTAAATAACTGAATATATAGCCAACATTAGTAGCTACTTGTACTTCCAAAGTGAACTTGGTTAAAAAACTGCCATAATATTAAATAACCAGAAATATTTCAGTCTTTTATGCAAGTTTAGATTGTAAGTGAGAAATTTAGAGTAAATGCAACATAATGTCATTTTGTCAAAAGATCTAGCTTACATTTAGAAGGAAATACCAACTATATAACCTTCTAATGCTAAAAATCAAGTATTGATACCCACACTGGGAGCACAGATAGCCTATTGTACTTAACAAAAGTAACAGCTAACTAACTGGAGAATGTTTTACAAATTAAAAGTGTTATTTTTTGCCTGTAAAAATAAATTTTCAACAATTCAAGTTTAATATTGTATCAGTTAGTTAAATATTAAAGTTTCCTAAACAAACATCAGAGAGTAGTAGAAATGGGGAAAATACTAATGTGTAAAAAAATGGAGAGAGAGAAACTGTTAAAATGCAATATAAAGTGAAGGAGTATTGAAATAGTGATAAGAAAAAAATGCTAAACTTTCAATAAAGAGCAGTTGCTGATAGTTTTGGTGAGGAAAAAGTATAAAGAATTATTATTTAAGCTAAGAGAAACTATAAAACTCTGCAAACATAAGTATCAAATTTTGTATCACAAGTGTTATACCTATATAAATGGAAGAAAGAAGGTTAAGAAAACTGAATGGTACTAATGGTAACCTATTTCAGGTGGAATAGCCTGTAGAATGGGCTAGCTAATTTTATTTGTTTTTACAATCAGAAATAAATCAATATTATTTTCATTTAACATTTTTATATAATGATGAATAAGCCCAGCTCTTGTATTTTATCAAAATGGGTGAAAATGCTTTTTTAAAATGGCTACCATTTTCAAGAGTATAATATGCCTGGGTTTGATATCTCCACATTCTGAGGGCAAGAAACATTAAACCTCTTAACTTGATGTTTAGCTGTATGTACTAATAGGTAATGGGAAATTCTTAGTGTAACAGTGAGAAGATTGTTTTCTCTTTTTGTCTAAGATTGTGGTTAGGCTGCATTTAGAATGTTGTGTTCAATTTTAGTCTCATTGTTTTTTATAATTGAGAAATATACTGATCTACTGGAAAGTGTAGAGAATGACTTGTTAATTGATTATGTTCAACTAATTGATCATTGTCAGATGAGACTTGGATAGTTGGAATAATCAAAAATATTAATTGGAAACTAATTTCAAGTAGTTGACTATTTTTGTGTGACATTAACACTGATCAATTAACTGAACGACCTTGAATTAATTGAAAATAACAACAAGAAATAAGAATGGCAATATATCAGTTATTTTGAGAGTTGGAATAATCAAAAATAATAGTTAGCAATAATAGTTTCTATCAGTTGGTTGTTTAGATGACATGATCCCCTCAACTGCAGCTTGCAGAATGTGTGCAAGCACATACACTGTATATGGTACTCTCACATTCAACTATCAGAGGTGGACTGTATCCTATACCTGGCTTTTTGTTTCAGGCATTAACCATACTCCTCTGAGCTTGGTCACATCATTTACTGGGAGCTTCTATCTTGGTAAGGTACTATCTCTCTTGGCCAGTCTGTATTCTATTACTGGAATAGCCTTTTTGTTTCAGGCATTAACCATATCCTCTTGTATTCATTGGTATTGTGAGAACCTTCGTTTGCAATATTCACAACCTGAGACACTTCTTAATGCTTGTGATAGCTTCTATAGACATTTGTTCTCTTCTTTGTTTGACCTCTTTCATTTCTTCATACACACTGCTTTATCTTTCTGTACTTTATTCCCCTGTTGTTGGGACTTGGGTCAAGTTAAACTTCTCTTTACTGTACCACTTCCTTCTTGTATACTTATTCTTTGTCTGGCTCCTTTTTGTTACTCACATGTCTTCAATTGCATTCCTTTCCCCCTTGTGACCTTGGCTGATATTATACGACTTTTATCTTCACTATCTTCCCAGGTTTTTTCCTCTTTCTCAAATTTTCCCTTTATTTCTATTTCTTGTCTAGATCAGTCTCCTTCCCACATTTCCATTCCAAATTCCAGACCTTCCTCTCCTTTTTTTCTTCTCATTTTTCTCTACTTGAAGTCTCGTTTATCACTCTTCTTGCCAATGACTGTCTCATACGTACACTTCTGTGGGTAACTTTCTCTTCTCCTACTACTGGTCTCAATTTCTGCCACCAGTTGTTTTCCGTTTCTCCACTTTATTGTCTGTACTTGCTTCCCTTCTCTTTACTTTTCTTCCCATTTCCTTTTCTTCTTTCTGTGATGCTTTTTTCACCTGGTTTGTGGTTGGCCATGGTTGATGTGTCAGACACTTTCCTACATGTCTTTCTTGGTCCATCCTCCCTTTGTTTTTCTTGTCCTGTCCATATTTTTGTGACTTCCCATTTCTTGCTCTTTCTTTTGACTCAGCATCAGTTCCTCTTGTATCAGCTTGCCATATTCATGATCTGGGACTGGCATCCATTTTCTTTGGCTATTTATATCTGTTACCCCATTCTTGGATATTTCCTTTTCTCATACCTCCCTTCCTATATGGTGGTTACTCATTTGGGGGGAGGACTAATCTTGGGATCTAAGTCCTTTTTCACACTCACTCAATGTTTGGTACTTTTGGGCATTTTCTTCTTCTCTCGTCTCAACTGACTTCAGCCTATCTTCATCTGTGAGATGGATTATATCTGGTCACCAGATCTTACACTTATTCTCTTCCTGCATGAGAATTTTTTTCACCTTTGGAGTAACTAGCTTCCCTATGACCATTCATTCCTTTGTGATATGTCCTCATGTGGACCCAAGGTTTTCTTTCTTGGGATCCTTTGTCTTTTTTTGTGTGATTCTCCTCAAGGATTTGTTCTGGAATGGCCTCTACACTCCCACATCTTCTATGTGTTTTACCCTTGGTTTGATATGTCCTTCTTGATGATTTTGCCCTACTCCTCAACTGTGGGCTTCCTCTTATGGTTCTCTATTCCTCATCTTTAGGATCTGGCTATCAATTTCTCAGCCAAGCCTGGTCTTACCTCTTTCTCTATACTACTCCCCTATATATCTCCTCCTCCTTCTGAACCTCAGATTTATACACTACTCTCTTTCATGTGCCCTATTGTTGGTACCTCTTTGACAGTTTTAGCCTTGGTCTGCTTAATATTTGGACCCATCCTCCATTTCTCTTCCCATTATCCCCTCTCATGCTTCTCATTCTCACACTTCCTTCTTCATAAACGGATATACTCCTGTCACCCTCACACATGGAATTTGCTCAATCTTCACTTATAAGACTTTCCACTAATACATCATTATTCTTGTCATCATTCCATGGTATTTGTCTATCACCAACTATGGTGGGTTTTTAGTCATTGGACCTGCTGCTACACCTTTTTCCCTGGCAGTAATTCTGCATACCTCTCAGCTTTTCTTACCTTACTATTTGTTGATGGGTTCTTGGTCTCAGCCTTTCCTAATTGTCAGGTGGCCGTGCCCATGGCCTTTCTCCTTTCCCGGTACCATGATGTGTTTCTTCCTCTGTCTTTGCCATTTTGTTCTGCTCCTTCATACTCCTCAGTCTTGCCCAACTTCATTGCATGAATGAGATCTTAATGAGATTTTTCACGATTTCGTGTATGCCCATTTGAGCTGTTGACTTCCTGGCTTCTGTATTATCTTTCTCTCCTGACTTGTTTTCTCCTATTTCTCTGTTAATATATCCTGATGCTTTTCAGCTTCCATAAGTTGCCATTTTTCAATCACTCTATCATCTCTTTTAGAACCCCTCTTTCATCACATAGGATCTCACCAGTTGGATGGTGTTGCCTGCCAGGATATACTTTCCAAAAATCTACATATATATATATATATATATATTCACTCTATTCTCTGGTCCAGATCATACCTATTCCATAGACTATCATGGAAAAAGCCAGAACCAGGGATGTATCCTGTGTACTTCTCTGGCTTGCACTTGCTGGCTTTTATAAATAGGGCTTTGGGGTCAACCATTGCACTGTCTCCAGTAAAAAACATTTCTTCCAGACTGAAGGACCAACATAGATTAAGGCACCCCAGGTCTCCCCAATGCAAATTCTCCCCTCTTTCAAATGGAGCATGGGAGATCCTTGCCACTTACTAATTCCTTAGTGCTGGGTGGTGAACCATGGAGAACTCTTGCCAACTGGAACTCAACTACTGAGGCTAGAACAAAGAGTACCAATACAATGAAAAGTTGGATGGTGGTACATCATTAGTGTAGTGAGGGTCACTCCTCATATTATATCAGATACATCACACATGCAGCCTCAGTTGGTTCAGGGTGAGCATGCAATAAACATGGACCAATACTGCATAATACAGTGTCCTCCTCCTGCAGAAAGAATCTGTTCCATAGTATCTGTTCAGTTGAATCTAGATGAGCACTCACAATATAATATCAATGTATATATATATTATATAATCTATCTTGCATGGTTTCCTCATGCAACCTATGTTTCATCAGTAAAGTCAAGGTGACCACACTCTATGCTGGTCCTTACTAATGTGCCCTCCTCCCACAACTGGTGTGAGTCCCATGGAGTCTGTCAGTGGAGTTGAAGCAAACACTCTATACAAACCTTTGATGTATATAACATACCCTCCTCCTGCAGCTCATGTTAGTACTCTAGTCTGACAGTAGAGTTGAGGGGTACACAATTATCCATAGCAATATGTCCTCTTCCCTCAGCTGGAGTCTGTCCCATAGAGACTGATAGGAGATTTGAGATTGGCTGTCCAATGACTGGTGTGAAAGAACTGGGATGATCATGTTCAAACTCTTCTGTCAGTGTGAAACTAATTTGGCTTCTTTGCCTCTTATCTTCTCCTATACAGGAGAAAAGTATACCCTGGATGAGACGAGATGCAGTCTCCCACATGTGTGCCTCTATGGAGCCTTTGCCTTCGGGTGTCACAGTCTGTGGGCATCCTTTGAACACTTTCTGAAGGGTGCTTATCTGGGTAAATTTTGCACAGTTTCCTCCATCATATTGATCTGGGACTTTAACTAATCTGTGTAAAGAAGTGCTTTATCATTTTGGAAGTTAACAATTTCCTTCCCTGAAAATGTATTTCTGATAGATTCCTCTTTACACATTGTTACTCACCCTCCCCACTTCCAGTACACATTTTCTTACTTGCCTTATCAGAGAATGAAGATTCATGAGTGCAAATACATGGAGGTGTGTCATCCTTCTGCTGGCGGAGGGCTTTTTTCACATGCTAATATCATCATGCAGTGGCATAATTCACATAAAATTAGGTGGAAGTTGCCTCAAGGATAGTGGAATACAAATCTCTTTGGCAGACTTGCTGAGGAAGATAGCTAATCTGTGTGAGGAGAAATCTATCGGAAATACATTTTCAGGTAAGGAAAATGTTAATGTACAAGCTTTGGAAACTTGGAAATGTCAATCTAAAATTTTCTGTAGTGTAATAGTTGATTAGGCTTCATTAGGTAGATATGTGAATTAGCTGTTGTTGGATTTATTTGTTTGGGGATTCAACATGTCCTCAATTAGGTCAAATTGCTTTTTGTTGTTTTTTTTTACTGTAGTGGACCCTAGATAAGAAATGTAAGATACTTTTGTCACTTAAATAATTGATAGTTCTTTATACAATTCCTTGAGAATGTTTTGTAAACCACTTTAAAAACAGTCATACTAAGATGAAAAATGTTGGAAGAATGTGACAGTAATATCATTTCATGGTGTTTCCTAATTATTGTCAGTTTACAACCACAGAATTGTACTTCCTGATCCTTTGGGGAAAAGAAATGATTTCATTGGATTTTGAAGAATGCTGTGCTGCGTAATCAGTGCAATATCTTTTGCAGCTTTTTGAACAAATGATCCCACCAGAGGACATTGATGACAAAGACTTAATATTAGAAATAACTGCTGGAGTAGGAGGTCAAGAAGCTATGTTATTCACAAAAGAAATATTTGACATGTACTATAACTATGCAACGTGGAAAGGATGGCAGTGTGAAATCTTGGATTACGAGGTAACAGACTTAGGTGGGTTGGAACAGCTAGAAATAGCATTAGTTGTAACATAATATAACGATTGCTGCGAGATATATTACATCTTTAGAATATTGTAATATAATAGAAAGATGTCTGCTTTGTTGCTAGCTAGAATTATTTAACATGCCTACACACCGAATTAAATTTCAAAGTTAACATGTTTTTATACTTTACCTTCCACAAAGCAGGGTATGCAATTAGCATCTAATGAGGTCATTAGGGATTTAATAACAAAAGAAAAAATAAATTTGATGACGAGGAACCCACTTTGAGACTAATAATGGCTGGAGACGGCTTAAATGGGTAATGAAGAAAAATGACAAAACCTTGTCGAAACGTTGTACATTTGCTGTCATGTTAAACTTATATTAAAGTTTTTCTTCATTACCCATTTAAGCCGTCTCCAGCTATTAAAAGAAAAAATAGGTGGACATTATCTAAGATTGTCCTTTATACAGTTTTCCTTCCTTAATGGATATTCTCAGCTAGCTGTAATAATGTGAAGAAATGTTTACACTGAATAATGATAAGTTAAATGACTCATTTAACTGATTAAGTACTTGTGTCTTTAAATTCAAAGCCAATGCTTATAAAAAAAATGGGAATTTGTCCTCTTTTAGGGTTTTTGTTTCATCCCCCTTTTTAGGGCAAAAATCCATAAGTAAAATAGCCAATGTATGTCACCAGATTCCATTTATACAAAAATTATGGTAAGCAAGTCAGCCAACTATGGGTAATGTAAGCCAAAAGTCTATAAAAAGAGCAGAAATGTTTCTTTTCCAGGGTCTGTTTTATCCCTCTTCTCAGATGAAAATTCCAAAAGAAAAGTAGCCCATGTTCACTATTAAAACATTTCTAGTTACCTTCCAAATATTATGATAATTGAACCAACCAATTCTGGGAGATGGATATTAGCACACACACACATAATGGGGCACATTTGTAGGAAGAAACTAAGAAAGGTTAACATTTGTATTTACTGATGACAGAAAAAAAAACAAGATAAGTAAGAAAAAATTTGAATTAAAGCTTCATGTAGTAAAATGAAATTATATGGCTCAGTGAGGACCTCTTATGGATGAGTGTAATTAATTTATTTTATCAGTTATTAAGATCATTAATCAAACTCAGTTTTTTTTTCCTTTGGCAATATTTTTTTACTTCAATGGTTTTCATACTTGAAACATAAATCTCAAAAACGTTAGAAGAAAAGCATCAAGACAGCAGGACACACATAGTGGGAAGGGGATAGCATAGTGTTATGACTCAAAATTGCAGTAGTATTTAAAACGTAAATACGAAGATCAAACTATCAGTTGATCAAACCCTTAAATATTTGTAAAATCCTATTTAAAGATAGGTTTACTGTGATGATTAAAAGATAACTACAAATACCATACGTACGTACTTGTATATGTTTAAACAGTTTCAAGTACATTACAAGCATCATTAGGCAAATCATAAAAAGTAATGCCATTTTAACAGTGAAGAAAATATCAATAAGCAAAAAAATTTTGTATGTGGTCATGATTTTTCCAACAGATTCTAAAACTTGTTTACTGCAGTTGAAATCAAGGATAAGTTTCGTTTGTCCTACAGACAGTGGAACTACTTGGTATTACTATTCAGACGAATCTCATTCCAAACTTACATATATACTAGCTTGGTAATGATCAAGAGGTGTGTGCAGGCTCAGTAAGATTCAGAAACATGACCTGCATGTCACCATTCACTTGAGTAGATACAATAACTTGGATGTAAAATCCAATGTTTTAAGTTTATTTACAGCTATTTATTGTGCTCCCACATGCAACACAAACATTTTTTATTCAATGCATTTATTTATTTAAGAGTTTACTTAGTTGTTATGTTTTAAATTGTTTTGTTTCAGTTGCACAGTAACTTATTTTGATATGTACAGGTGTAGTTACTTTTGTACACACGTTTTTTTTTTTTAGGTGGTCTTCGTCATGCTGCCTTAAGCATAAAAGGTCTAGATGCCTGTAAGTACTTGAAATTTGAAGGTGGGGTTCATAGAGTACAGAGGGTTCCAAAAACAGAAAAATCTGGACGAATTCATACCAGTACAGTGGCTGTTGCTGTTCTGCCACAGCCGAGTGAGGTATGTCATAAAAACTTTTCTCTGACTTGGAAGTTATTTTTTACTTCATTCTTACGTCTTTGTTCATTTTCCATTTACCTGGGGGTTTGCTGTGTCCACCTTGTATAACTAACAATTTTTATGCTGAAATTCATTTCCTAAATAGTACTGAAGTTTAATTGTTATCAAGTATTGTACTGGGTGCCAATTACCAACCAAAAGTATCAATAATCTTAGCTTCATCAATGTTACTTAGGAAACACAAGATAGTGGTCAAAGAAACTCTTTATATCTACCTTGTAAAAAAGGAACTACTTGGATAGTTTGTTATTCTAATTAATTTTGTGTTAGTATTATATAATAAATCAGTTACTTTATTTCACAGGTAGATGTGGTTTTGGAACCTAAAGATCTCTGTATAGAAACAAAAAAATCTAGTGGTGCAGGTGGCCAGCACGTCAACACAACTGATAGTTGTGTTCGAGTAACTCACATCCCAACAGGTAGGTAACTCCTTTACTGTGCATGAGAATTTTACTTTAAAGTCACAGGCATAAAGTAACTAAAATAAACAGTGTTTTACTGAAGTAACTAAAGTAAACAGTGTTTTACTGTCACATGTATTTTAGATATAGTTATTGGTTTGTTGATAAAATCTGATGTTTTAGAAGAATATGTCTATCAAACCTACACTATGGAAAATTAACCCTAGAATTCCTGATGGGGTTAGTGTGGCATATGGTTCACTGATTTTGTTGATTGCAGGATCCCTAATTATATGAGACACAAAACATTTTAACCCAAAATACCATCAATATTGCAGTTAATCCCACTAATTATTGCTGGAGTTCATTATGTATTTTGTATAAAAAATAAGCGATTTCACCTAATTTTTTGGCTCAATTTTTTACACTGAGTGTTATAACATATAAAATTACTTAATATGATGCAATATGTCGACCCACCGGTAGTGATGGATATTAAAACAAGTTAGACAGTTGAGATAGACTGTTTCCATTAAATAAAGTAATTTGATCTTACAACTTTTATCTCACTAATAAAAGTCTCCAGGTCAGTAGTTGGAGAAGGAACATGTTATACCATTGATATATTATGTCATTGATATGTGTGTAGGAAATATTTGAAAGATCTCAAAGTTCAAATAAGCAGTGTGATTATTTTAGTAAATCCTAGCAGAACCAATCTACACAGTGTTGGTGTATTTTATTTCAGGTGTACTTAAATTTATTCAATTAATTATCAAAAATAACCATAATAATTTAATTTCTTATAAAACAGAACATATATCACTAAGCATTGCCTATAGCACAAAACGTCATTATGTGTAGTACAGTTTGGAAAGGGGTCATTACAAAAGAGATATATCCATGAGACAGGTAGAATATCACCAATATCAGTTTTAAGGAAAAACCCGTATAAAATAAAATATGGATGATCATGTGTAATATCACTAATGTGAAGATAACAAGTTTTGGAATAAAATAAAATTATAAAAATATAAAATGTTTCAGTGGTAGTAACTAATGATATAGAACATAAGGGTTTCCAAGAATATGGTACTGTGTTTTATCCACACATTATTGTACAAACAGTTGAACCAGTGAATAACTGATTACATACTCTTTACCTAATAATCTATAATTTAATGCATTGAACTTTTACATACCATATTAGGAAAACTTACTGCTAGGGACAAGAGAAAATAAAGACTGAAGGTAAAGATGAGCATGTACAGTTTAACAGAATTGGATTAATAGTTTTGGTTTTGTTTTGATTTTGGAATTGAGATATTAAACTGTGTAGTGATAGTATGGTTGAGTAAAGGCAATGTGTTAATGTTTTTCCTTGTGTCTTAAATTCTAGGTCCACACCAAACAAAAAACAGCATGAGTACTTCTTGTAACGGTTTTTATTTAATGTAATGAGCAACATTGTGTAAGAACAAAATGAAAAACTTGACATTTGAGTGGTGTGGTACTGTAATGCAATACCACTGTCAGTGACAAACATGTTTGTGTACAGTAACATTCATGTCTGTGCCAGCTACTGTAGTCTATATGAGAACAGTTGCACACATAGTATTATAATGCAACTATAAGCATTGTGGATGTTTCATCAGTAAGTCTGTTTCTGTGTATGAATTGTATGATTAGAATTTACAACTTAGTTATTTGTAAGAATAAATAATCTAGCAATGTTGTGAATGAACAAATCTGTGTAAACCTGAAAATACTTTTGGTAACATGATATATGCATAAATATATGGTCATCTTAAATTAAAAATTTCAATACTTTGATATAGGTGAACTTGATATGCACAGTTTCAAAGCACATGTGAAAATAATACAATGTGTTCTGGATCAGTTGATGATTTCATAAACATGTAGTTTATTTTTAGATATGTGAGTTTACTCCAGTGTATGGTTAGCAAATTAAAGTTTGTACATTTTTGTGCACGTAAACATGTCAGACAATATTGCTTCTTTAAATATTTGACATACTAGAAGAATACTTGTTAAAAATAGTCCATTTTACAACAGTAAACATGTTCCTTCCATGTATTAAAAGTCAGTATGTAATAATCACAAATGTTAAACTCTTTAGTATTGTTTATGCTGTAATAACATTTGTGTGATTTAAATTAAAATTACTGTGATCAGTATGACTATCATAAACAAATGAATAAAGTGCCTTTGTTGTATATTCTGATAAACTATCAATAATTTGAAAATGGTGTGACTGATCATATTTTAACTTTGCAAGATGGCATTTAAGCAAACTGTAAGTCCTAACATAGAGCCTGTCTTCTTTTTATTAAAAATTATATAAATAATGTTTTACAATTTAACATGTTATTATAGGTAATGAGACATCACAAGCATAGATCAAATGGTCACATATTTTATTCAAGAAAAGGTCTGAAAAAAGTCTTGACATAACTAACTTTAATCAGACAATGAAATAGAACAAACTGACATTATTTCACATGAATAGAGAAATAACTAAAAAGACTAAATAATATGATTGAAATATTTTTGTTTCTCACACATATTCTGGTTGTTTTCATTGTACAGGTGTTTTTGTGGAATGTCAAACAGATCGTTCCCAACATCGAAATAAAGAAAATGCTCTGAAAGGTTTGAGGGCAAAGTTGTATGAAAAAAAATTAGAAGAACAGTATAGCCAACAGAGACGATCCCGAAAATTACAGGTAATTTGTTTTTCAGGTAGAGAATAGAAGGTTGATAACAATAAATGTTATTACAGACACTGAAGTTTATCACTCATATGTTTAAACACGTTCTTCAGATTGAACTTATATCCGTCCCTTTTTATTATTTGCACTTTGGCAGAGTTTGGAATTTCAGGCTACTGATAATTTTAACTGAAGGAATATTTGAATTATTTATCCTGTATTATGTCACATGAAATTATAGCGCTTGCATTAATGTTTCTGTCTTGTTCATCAAACATAAACTGATAAAAACACTACTGCCCTAGAGAAGGGTTCTAAAATTGTCTCGTTACTTCTTGAATTACTGTACTTCACGTTATAACAAACTCTTTCTGATATTTTTCTGTTTTAAACTTAGTAATGTATTGGAGCTCAACCTAACCAAAATGTTATACATAGACAGTTGTAGTTTTCCTTCAGTACACCGTACTTTATCATGTGTAATATGTATTACTTCAAATTAATTACATGTTTCTAAGATCTTTCCCTTTAAGTATTGCAAAAAATTGATATCTTGATAATCTATAAAATTCTAGTACAAAAACTGGAAATACTTTTCTGTTGTTGCAATAGTTTGTGAAAAAGTATATTGTAATTTTTCTAACACTGACGAATGTCACATTAATATTTACCTTATTACTAATCATATATTGGCGAAAAAAGTACTCACTCAGGATTAACCATAAGCAATCAAACTCATATGTTTCATATTCTGATAGTAATATCTTTTAAGATCATTGTTTATCGTAGTTTAAATATTTTAGCAGTTTTTATTGTCATGTGTGCACTATCACTAATTTGTGGTTTCAAAACTGTATAAGATATTTAGTGACCTTTATGTCTTTATATAAAAATGGTAATAGTAATTTTCATGGTTATTAAAAATATATACATATATATAAACTAAAAATGGTATCTTCAGAAAAATAGCAATTAGAAACAATATATTAAAAAGGCAAATCAGATTTTCTGAAGGACATGTGGAAATTTAAAAGAATTCTGGGTTTCTATTTTATACTTTAGTGTAAATTCAAACAGCATCACTTAAATTTTTTTTCAACCTTCAAGGTAGGTTCATCAGCTCGTTCAGAGAAAGTTCGCACCTACAATTTTGGCCAGGATCGAATCTCAGATCATCGGGTTAGCGAAAACCTGTACAATGTCAGCACTTTTCTAGAAGGAGGAGAGAAATTGGATGAACTGATTCAAACACTACAAGAATCTTCACGCAAAGAAATTATTATGGAAATATTAATGAGCTATGACCAGAAATGACCAAATTCTAGGCTGCTGTAACAGAAAATAGGCTATTAATGCAAGACCTAGTCTGTGTTTTTTACAGTTTCATACATCTTACCTGTAGTAAAAATATTAAACCTTAAATATTGCTGATATATGTGTTTACAATCATTTTAAACACTAGAAGCTATTTGATAGTGACTTTGTGAAAGTCTTCGTAGTAATTCCTCTAGACCGGCTGACCTTGTATATTTTTTGTGTCGCAGAGCTGGCTTGTCTATGGTCCCGACAGGAACCAACTATCTTCAGATATATTTAACAGTGACACAAAGTCAAGTATACTGCATCTTATGTGGCTTAATATATGAAAATGTCAATGTGTTAAGTTGCTGAATTCAAATGTGCTTACATCCCACAATTACATGTAACATATATTGTAAGAAATTGGAAAGTTTAGTGTATTACTGCTTTTTTTTGTGTGTATATTGTCAGTCATCAACTAACAGTCATCCAAAAAAATCAAAAGTCTATACTTGTAGTTTAGTTATTCATAACAAATTGAAGACTTAAGTATAGTTTTTAACAGTAAATGTATAGTAATGATCCTTATAGGTGAT